TAGAGATCAGAACAGGTCATTGACCAAAGATGGCCCGGGTCGTCGTTTTGTTTTAGGAGCATACTGCCTGCCGGATTCTTTGTCGCTTATTCAAATGCAAAAATCAGAGCAGTCTTGTATGGTTTTGGTCATCACGGCCTTCAAAAGGTCAAACAAGGTCACTGACCTCAAATGGGCTTGTGGCCTTTTGCTTGGAAACAGCTGTCTAGGTTCTGGGGGCACTTTGGAGACCAACCTGGAGTTTGACCTTGTTTGACCTTACTTGACCTGGAGGTCATTACCTAGGAAGCTCAAACTTTGACCTAAGTGAGTTCACGTACAGGTCAAGACACCCTGTAAATTTGGTGTCTTTAGCTTTCTTAACTCCCGTGATCTCAGAGGGGTTCAAATTGACACCCCCCCCCCTCCCCCCACCCCCACCCGGGCGAAGGGTTTCTAGCCGGCCACCCGGGCGCGTGTTAAAGAAAAGTGAAGTGTGGTTTTTGTTTCAGCGTTTATTTATTTGCATGAATGTTGAATAGTAATTGTGGATCATCATCAATGCCCACGTCTGTACCTCCCTGTGTGCAAGCTGCCACAAGGTGATGATGAGGAGAGCCTGCCAAACGCAGCTCCAGCTCACTCCAGTTATTTACCCATCTCTCCCAAAAACAGCGGAGCGCGTAACTTCGTTGACTTCAGACAAAGGACCCCTCCCCCGCCTGATAACTGCTCACTGAAATGAGGCCAAGTTTTGATAATTTGGTCTACTGGTCTGTCTGCATGAAATCGCTTCATTTTTCCTGTGCTTAACTGGTGTGCTATGTGTGTGATAAGTTTATATGACTTCGCGGCCTTGCTGAGAAAATGAACATACTTATATTTCTTCTTTGTGTTGTGTGTTGGCGGCGCATGCTGATTTTTGGAAGGTCCTGAATGTTAAGATCTGGTAGAAATACTTGAGTTTGCCTGTTTTTTCCAGTTTGTAAAGTATCAAAATTGTAATCCCGCAACAGCTTCCTAAGTCTGGCCCAAAGACCGGAGAAACGCCTGTCGGTGCCTGACGGTCAGATGTGGTGTCTTAAAAAGAGAGTCTGTTGTCCGTGCAGTTCGCAACATCCGCGACTGAACAAATTCTGTGTCGCACTTAATAGAATTCACCCCGATCCGGAGAGTACTACGCTAAATATTGCTCGAAAGTTCTTGCTCCAAGCTGGTTGAAATTTAAACGTGCATGTAAGTGTCGGCTTAAACCGCCGACGTGATACTGTGGCCGTCTTGACATTAAGGTGTCGGCTTAAACCGCCGAAGTGATACTGTGGCCGTCTTGACATGAAGGTGTCGGCTTAAACCGCCGAAGTGATACTGTGGCCGTCTTGACATGAAGGTGCCGGCTTAAACCGCCGAAGTGATACTGTGGCCGTCAGAGGGCGTTTCTCGGGTACTATAGGTGGCGCTATACACCAGGCCAAACCAGTCCCGGTGGAACAGGCAAACTGGAGCCCCCGCGACGCGACACCTAGTAGTGTGCAGAGTCACCTTTGCTTCGCGGTTTAAACATCAGGTCCAACGTTGTGCAACGGTAAGTGTTTATTGAACCTCGATCAGTGTTTATCAGGCAAAACATTGGCCTGAGGCACCGCGGACATTCACGTCCGCGGTGCCTCAGTCTCCAGTTCGTGGCGCCTGCAGCTTATTTTATGCGAGCCGTCTGCTCAAGACCTCAAAGAGGTATAACTCGAAAGCTTTTTGATTGTTTTACTTAGATAGGGGGAGGATGGGCTGTCAACAAATCGGATAACACTAAAGAGGGCGTTGATAGTCGGCGAGAGTGTGACAAAGCCACGAACGTATTTTCCTATTCAGACCTCCACAGTTTCACCAGATGAATGAGGGGACGGGTGGGGGGTGGGGGTGCGCTGAACAGAAAAAAGGACCCAATCTGCCCACAAAATATGTCAACAGTCAAGTTTCTCCACATTTGGCCCGCTTTCTTTCCAAAGTGGGGGGCGTGGTATGGAGCTCAACTTTGGAGAGAGAACCAAGCCCCAAACCATCCCCAACCCCGTTGCAAGGCGATGATATTCAACTTTGGTATACATGTCTATATATATATATATATATATATATATATATATATATGTGTGTGTGTGTATGTATATATATATATATATATATATATATATATATATATATATATATATATATATAGTTAATATTTCTTGTTTGGGGGGGGATTAAATGTAGGTGCTGCCTATGGTCGATTTGCTCCCTGCAATGCTTGGCATTATGTTCAATGCCAAAAATGCTGTCGGTTCATGGTCAACCCACTTCATCTTCTAGTGTCGGATACACGGAGACTAGACGAGAAGTATGCGCTTGCTTTTGGGGTCCCGGGGTCCCTCGATCGGCTCAAACAAACCCCGGTCAACCTGTGACCATGTTCGGGCCTCTGGAGAGTTGAGGGTCTCCGTTACCAATATGAAACGGGCCTTGTTTCCAGGATCCGTCCCGGGCAGTAGGGCCGAGCAGAGCGAGGAACCGGGTTCACGAATATGAGGGAGCCTTCTCTGGCGCCGCATTGGGCCCACTGAAGCATGGACAGGGCTTCCCAGTTGACCAGGGATCTGATGCTGAACGAGGGACCCTCGAGAGTGAACAGGGCATCCCTGACACTGAACAGAGGCTCCCGGAGCTAGACAGTGGATCCGCGACACTCACGAGAGGCTCCGTGCCGGCCAGAGGCCACATTAACCGAACAAGAACAGGGCCATGGTACTCGAATGCCAGCCATGAAACCTGCCCTTGTGCCACTCGGGAGAGCCCTGAGACAATACGGAAGTCCCCAGAGTTGACTGGCCCTGGCCCTGGTACCTTGCCGATTAGGGGATCATGTGCGAGCCGGGAGGCCCATGCACCGATGATGCCTATCATGGCGCCTCCAGCGTCGCTGAGGAACACGCTGAGATAATGAGAGGGCCACATTGTCAACCACGAGGCCCTGGAGCCCCTAAAAAGGATCCCTCCGTGCTGAATATGAATCTTTGCCGACCAAGAGACCCGGTAGCGAAACTGAGACATGACCAGGGTCCCACTGTTAGCCAGAGTGCCACCTGCAGTACTCGGGGCCCATGAGACAATAAGTCTGACCTTTGTTTACCAGGGACCCCTGGTGATGGTGCTTAACAGGGTCCCTGGTGGGCACAAACGGCACGTGTTCTGTAGAGGCGAAACATAGCCGACCAGGGAGGTCAACACCAATATTTTTTTGTTTACTTCTTTCCGTTCAACATAGGGCTGGCAACTTTGACTGACTGGCGTACGCGATGCCAAAGTGATCAATAAATTATGCCATCAATGCTCATAAAGCTGGTGCCTCATTCAGTAGAGGTAGGTGGGGCCAGAGTCTCCGAATACCAAAGTTTCCTTTGTCGCCCGGAGGCACCCTGAGTTGAGCCGCCATAATTCGAGGCGCACGTACACGTAATTTTGTTCACGTTCTCACGCAAATGCGCTACTGTAAGTACTGAACAAATGAGGGATATCATGTAATTATAATTACATTCAGAACTGCCAATGCTGGTGTGCGTGAAGAAAAGCAATTTTCACACATCTGCGGCGCACTAAACTGTGTTTTTAGCAAGCATTTCTTTGGTTGTCCCCGTCCCCCCCTCCCCAGCCGCGAATCTTGTATAACGGTCTTGCCCAAAGACATTGTTACGTTGTACAGTTGTGACTGAGCTTCGCTAAGATGCACTGGTTGTGCTCGGCAAAGATGTCTCAGCAGGCATACATTTCATGCAGAGGGACCTGCGAGGGAACAGCCACCGTTCGGATCACCTGCAGATTGTCGGTATGTTCGGCTCTACGCAGCCTCGTGACCCTCGTGGCGTGCCCTCGTGACTCATCCTCGCTGACCTGTTCGGCTCTACGCAGCCTCGTGACCCTCGTGACGTGCCCTCGTGACTCATTCTCGCTGACCTTTCATCTTGCGATCTTCCGGGAACAGCTCCTTGGAAATTGAGACACGAGCTCTTGGAAGAACCATCTTCATGCAAAGCCAGCTCTGCCTCATTGCAGGCATCCTTACCTGAGCAATGACTGGCCACCAGACTGTTTTGTCAACTTAACCGCATACGGACACCGTATCCCAGTTCAGTGGGTGCCGACGGCCGAGGCTTCCGGTTCGGGTCCGAGATCAAAGTCGGCGCCGGCCGCCACATGTGCACACGCTGCGAGCAGCAGCCGGCCACGCGCGCCACCACACACGCCGCTGGTAATCCCGCGGGTCCCGTCCTGCGGATAGTGAGAGAGAGGGAGGGCACAGGCGGTTCCAGAAACAGCCTATGAGGAGGACGAGACCCGCAGACTGAGGACGGTCAGCTGAGGGCGTCGCGCCGGCGCGACCCTAGAACCGCCCTTGTCGCGTTTGGCCCTCACAACACGGCCGGCCGGTAACGTAAATAAACATTATAGTGTCGGGTGTCGAAGGAGGGGGCGGCGGGAGGGGGGTCGGATGCGGTGACATCGCGGGCGGGGCCAGTGGTGCTCGTCTGGTGGTGGGTCCGGCCGGCGGACGTGGAGGAGGCCACCACAGCCCGGCGTCTCGCCTCAGGATCGCGTCATAGTCGCCGGAGAGCCGTTGTGTACGTTGGCTATCGCGTGCGTTGGCTCGTTGTCGTCGGGCCGTGTGGACCACCCTTCAACGGTGAGTTGACGAGCCACGCGACAACCGCGGTGCAGTGGGTGCGTGGAGTGGGGCGCGCGCTGTCCTGAACAGGGTGCGGACAGTAGCAGCGACCGTGATTGATACAGAAGTACTCACTTGCCCCATTCCGATCTGTTTTGGATCATGCCCTTCTCCGTGGTCGTTCGTTTATGTGCCAACGTGAGACATCGCATGATTTAAAACAATGCATGGCACCACCGCGTAACTGCCACGGACACCATTGGTGCATGCTGCGGCGGACGCCACTCGCCACTCCTGTTTTCCGGAGCGTTTTCAGTTGGGATCTGCATTGATGGCGTTTATGTATGATTCGCCAGGGGCAGAATGGGTCCGAATCTGGATCGCAGCCCTCGTGGTCTGCTGCTGCTTCACATACACCACGGCAGCCTACAATAATAATAACAGACGTGAGTACAGAGCATCTTACGCGATCAGCCAGTGATTAGGCTTGTTGAGGCAGACAGGGGTACTGGAAAAACCGTGTTAGGTGTGGATACAATGCAGATTTCCTTAAGCATTTCCTCCTCAGCAAGTTCCGTTAGAAGTTACTTAGATATGTTTTTAAGTAGATTTGCTTGTTAAGTGCATTTGCAAGGAGCATTATGTTCGTAGATAATTCCATGGTAATGGTCTTATTCCTTGTAGGAAAACCAGGAAAATGGAAATATAGATGCGTAGATATTTCGGCAGCATGCTTTTATCGAAACGAACAGCAGAAGTGCTATTCGTTACGTTGCAAGTACGTTCGTTCCTCTGCTGTGTTTCGGTAAAGGCATGTTGCCGAAATATCAGCGCACGTATACCTCCACTCTCCTGCTTTTTTACGAGGAATAGTATTACTTTTGTCGCATCTATAGATATGATATTCATACAGGATGTGTTAAAAATTTACTACATATGTTATGCATGCACTCCGCAGTATTTCTTGAAACATCTCATGGTTAAGATTTTGGTTAAGTGTCCCCGATCTCACGGTTAAGTATTTCGACAGACAAGTAGACTGCAGGTATATAACCCAAAGCGAATGGGCATTTATTCTCAATGACACCAACTTAAGCAGGTACTTGCTTTGTGTTAAATTTTTTTTCCGAGCATCGTAGTTCGGGCACTTCTCGTGTCCTCGTTAGCTGGTTAATGCTTATGACAGAAGACAAGAGGACAAAGGATCAAGCCAAATGTCCATCTAAGAAGCTACAGCAACATGATGAATGGTGAAAGATCACCGTTGAAAAGAATCCTTGTCCCCAAATAAGCCTATCATTACATTTCACATTACGCATCCGATATTATACAAAAAAGAAAGTTGCTAACGGTATGAATTATTTACCACTTTTAAGTGGTGAAAGCCTACTTTTCCAGGCAGGATTTTTTCAGTGATTCTATGAAAGCATAAATCATACGTGTACACATAGACACAGTGTAGCTTTATTAACTGTAAGACTGAGATATGGCGATTTCAGCAGCACCCCTCAAATAAATAGATGGATTTTGTGTGATACATGGGATTGCGAGATGGCAAGGAAATGAGGTTCTGGATTTTATGAAATTTTAACGACGCCAGAACTGCTCGGGCTGGATGATTTTTCATCACACAACTCATATTCCTTGCAGTTTGATTTATCTTGTATTGCACGAATATAATTACGATGCATCGTCTCCGGTGTTTTGTATCAGCTCCGTCGAAATGTCATGATGGAAAACCATCCATTTGCGCTGGAAGCATCGGGGAAATTGTGGGATATATTCTGCAAAGCACACGTGTTTCAGAACTTCTTAAACCTCTCGCTGGTCAACGGCACCTTGCAGATTTCGTTGATTCAGTCTGAACGGTCCACGCTAGGGTTCGTAGCCGGGAACCAGATCGATAGACAGCTCCCGTACCAAACAAAGGGTTTGCTATTTTGGAGCCTAGGGAGCACGTCACGTGCAGCAGTTGATCATGCGATCCGTGAGCTGCACGTGAGCCATCCCTGGTGCAAAACAGCAGCAGCCCGTGACGGAGCGCGCAGCTGAAGGGATGAGCAGTGACAGGGACCAGTGCAGTCCCTGAGTCGTTGAATACGTCTCGTCAGCTGGTGGCACTCGGGCGCCACATCCGCGTCACAACTGCGTCACAAACTGCGTGGACGTCGGTGACGCTTCGAGGTACTGCGTGGCGTCCTGGCACCACTGCGTTCTCCGCTGTAAACATTCGCCGTCCAGACAAGATGAAAGGAGAGTTCTGGAAGCCGTATCTCAGTCAGGAGTGTGTCGTCGCACTCCGGTTGCAGTGCTATCAGGGCCGGGGAAGCGGCTTACGTTACGACGCCGCATGCTGGAAAGTACGAGCGATTACACCATCCTGTGGTCGAGTACTGTCAGTGCGGCTGTAGCATAGTCTTGCGGTCTTGTTTTCTCGGCAGCGTGCATCCACCCAGTGATATGATAGAAACTAACAGCAGAACAGTGCAGGCTATTCTTCTGTTTTTTTTCTTCAGTTGCTCTCAGCGATGGTTTCCCTCGATCTTGTGACGTTTGATGTGCGGGTGACACATTTATCCGAAAGGTCGTCAGCACTTCCCACGCTAGCCTTCTTTGAAAGCGCTCTTTAACGCAAATGTCATGATCATCAGACAGGGAGCTGACATGATACCAAATCTGATTTCAGTGCAAATAAGGTACACACGAGCGAAAACCGTGTAATGTCGCCAAGCATATTGAAGTAGCCGGTTTATCTTACTCTGGAGTTGCTTGTGTTTCGCTATCACATCCTTTATCGTTATATCACGTGAACGGTACGCCACGATTGGTCCTAGATCAAATTCGCGAATGTAAAATGACGAAAAGAAACACGATGACGAAAAAGGCGCCTTCGAAGCAAAATCTACCGCCTGTTTTGATCATCCTAACAACAACAGATAAAGTTCGCCTCTGTTTATATTAATTCTCGTAGATTTCGGACTTGTCAGTAAATAAAACCCCTGTCCCCGTAACTTCTGGTCTCCATAATTTGATGGCATGCCTTATGTGTTTGTGTGGGAGGGGGGGAGGGGTGCGGTCCCACTGTGGTAATATGATTTGCTGGGCAATGTGCAGAAGTCAGCCAAGTGGTGTTGCTGATCACCTGACGCAAAGAGATGAATTCCCTGGTTGCTGTTGTCAAAGGGAATGCGAAATGAAAAAAGCACAAACATGACCGAAATAAACTTGTTTATAAACTCAGTACGTCAGGTGTCTGTGGTAAGCGACTGCTGAGTGAATTGGCGAAATTCATACTAATGGACAGCTGTGCCCAAAACGCGTTCTTGCGCTCAGCAGATTGAGCGCTGTTTTCACGGACGCCTGAGGTCAACGACGTGCGGCATGGCCGCGCTCGGTCGTAGCGCCGCGCGTCCCGAGAGCGGCTGAGCCAGCTTCCGGGAGGTGGATGATAACGTGGGATGGATGGGGGCAAGGCCAAACTCATGATGGACTCCGGGTAGCGATACATTATTCCTTAGAACAGCATGGGAAAGAGCCTGCTGAATCACCCGCCCGCATTTGGCGGCCGTTTTGCGCCGCCCGGGGCGTCCGGCCGATGGTGCGGTCGGCTGGCGGGGGCGGCCAGCAGGCTCTTCGCCAGGCTGTAAAGTAACCAGGGGGGAATTTTTGGATTAGTTGACGTCCCGCACTCTTCATATTAGGAACCTAAGAGTGCTTTCATCTGCTGCCATCTATTGCTGCCACCTACTTATAATTCGTGCTGTCGAAGAATAAGACGTATGCCGTTTATATTTCGCTCCCTTCCTCCCCTACACACAGTGCGAACGATACAAAAAGTGAAGTGTTTATTTTTTCAAAATTCATCTCCCATAAAACTTTGAAAACACTCACAAAAGCATCAGTCCGAAGGAGTTCAAGTAATTTATCATCCGCTTCGTGCATATGGAAGTTCTAGAGTTGAATGGGCCTGTTCCGTGTCCAGTTCCGTGTTAAACGGGCCTGAACCAAGCTGAATGGTGCAGTTCCTCAGCAGTTCACTGATTCGACTCTCTCATGTGTGCCCGTTTCAGGGATGTGGTTGCCCGTGATGTGCTGAACACACGCAGGTAACCGTCATTGAATCCTGTCAAGCAGTTAGTTAATGCGTATGCTATACCTTGAATCGTGTTTTGAGTGAGACGATTGCACCGGTTCGAGGCTGACCTGATCGCCGGCTGCCTTCCACAGGTCTGCACCGCGTCAGCCTGAATGAGCTGCGCCAGGTCATTCGGGACGACCTCGTCGGGGTGGTGGAGAACGCACTCGTCTCCATGGAGATGGGCCGCACTGCGTCGGGCGCCATGAGGATCGGTGAGTTGCGTGATCTCAGCACCAGATGGCAGAGCTCCAGGTGGTGGAGAACGCACCCGTCTCCATGGAGATGGGCCGCACTGCGTCGGGCGCCATGAGAATCGGTGAGTTGCATGATCTTAGCACCAGATGGCAGAGCTGCAGGTGGTGAAGAACGCACTCGTCTCCACGGAGATGGGCCGCACTGCGTCGGGCGCCATGAGAATCGGTGAATTGCGTGATCTTAGCACCAGATGGCAGAACTGCAGGTGGTGAAGAACGCACTCGTCTCCACGGAGATGGGCCGCACTGCGTCGGGAGCCATGAGGATCGGTGAGTTGCGTAACTTCATCCCCAGATGGCAGAGCTGCAGCTGTCGTCCGGCCCGGCCCGGCACGGCCCGGCTCTGAAGGCCTTTTCTGATCGCTGCGCTCACATTCTGTGACATTGTGTACTGCCGACATACTGATGTGTGTCGCATGTCAGCTGCGAAGACACTGTAACTGGATTCCAGACGGCAGGAGATTTGTATCAAACGCATGCCACTTGCTTCCAAATTACACCACAGAGACAGGTAAGGGGAATTGTGATTGGCCCAAATTATCAGCTCAAGGACACTATGAATTGCTGCCTTGAGGTTCGCGTCCCAGTTCGCACTGGTAACTTGTAAAACCGTCGGAAAATGTCGCACGGGGCGTTATATAACAAGGTAGAGTGGTCTGCTTTCATACGGGGTCAGAGCGTTGCGTTCGAGGGCGTGCAGCGACGTTCTTGCGTCCGGACCCTTAATCGATCCTTTTTGATGGCGCAATATTGTTTATTTACGTGATCGAAAAGTTCAACAGGACGCGTTTGCGGACTTCGATATTTGCCACACATGCAAAACGTGGGTCCGTTCGCCGCCAGTGCCTGTTAAGACCTGCGCTGCGATGCAACACCTGTTCTGAACAATCCGCGCTATCTCGTAGATGTAATGTGGACTAAAGCACTGAAAACTTAGCCTGAAAATACAAATATTCACACAGCGTTTCGGTGAATGAAATCAGTGCAGTACAGTGCGAGGAATGTCCGTATGATATCTGCGTACATCACGCACAGTACGTACGTCGAGTTGAGCATTTAGAAGTGTTCGCTTGTCAATGCGTCATCGCTCGCTGTGGATGCCAAATGGGCTTCGTTATCGTTAGGATTTCCTGGCTGGGGCTAAGCAGCTGTGATGTCGCTACGGCCAGCTCCTTTCTGCGGTGTTTGGCGCCGGATCGCTCCCCGGCCACGCGTGCCGTGCGGAACACGCCATGTGATTTGCACATTTGTCAGAAAATGCGTGCTGCCCACCGTTAGACGGGCATAACCTGGCGTGACCTTTTGGCATTCGCGGCCCGCTAGCTCCCATGATAACTGAAGGCCGAGTACTATCGCAACTATAAACTGACAACGGCATGGTGCACCAGGTAACGTCCGGCGACTTAATCGTGAAGCACATGCAAACACGCCGTCGCGCCGTCGTATCGCGCTTGCGTGAGGCGCGTCCCACCCCAGTCTGTGTTGTAGCGCCTGCACTGACTGCCCCCCCCCCCCCCCCCGTCCCGTCCGCCAGACGAGAAGATCACTACCTCTGTGGAGGCGACTGTGCGCACCATGACCAACTCGATCCAGGAGACGCTGCGCCGGTTCGAGACGCGCCTGATGACGATCGAGGCGCGCCTGGACGGCTCGGACGAGCCGCTGGCGCGCAGCCGCTCGCGCCAGGACTTCGCCTGCAACGAGGCGCACGAGCGCAGCCTGCAGCAGGGCGTGGAGCGCATCACCAACATCTTGGGCTCCGTGACGGAGCGTGTCGCCGAGGCGCGCGACGCCAGCTCGGCCGCCGAGCAAGGTGTGACCCGACTCAACGAGCGCCTGCCAGCCGCCGAGAACAGCATCAAGCAGGAGCTGGAGCACTCGGTCGGCGTTATCGAGACGGGCGTGAAGCGGCAGCTACAGGCGCTGGCGCTGGCGGCGCCGCGCGCGCCCGAGCCGGCCGCCTGCCCCGGCCAAGACCTGACGGCCACCCTCAAGCGGATGGAGTCAGCGCTGACGTGGCAGATGAACAAGGTGGAGAACGCGGTGACGGTGCTGCAGACTGGCGCCGAGCGTCAGCAGGGCCGGCGGGAGGTGGACCGGGACGCCGCCCACCAGGTGGAGCCTCTAGAGCGTGAGTACCGCCGCGCGGCCGGCTCGGCCCAGCCCGCGGCGCTCCAGCCGAGCGGTCCGTGCCCCGCTCCTGCCGCTCACAGCGTCCGGAGCCACAGGTCCGCCGTCTGACCTGCAGCTAATCAGCGGCTAAACTAGCAGCTTTCCTTCGTGCACAGCCACGGTATTTATCAGTATGTTTGCCAGACATTAGCCTCGGACAGCTGTCGAGACGGACTTGAAAGTACCTCATTTTTGTAGCACTGAGCATGGCATTCCATGGAGCATGGCCTGTCATTAGTGCCCGCCCCGTGGTCACTTCTGGTGTCCTTATCCTCCCGAGAAGCCTCGTGCACCGGTTCGCCCACGCTCCCCTCCCGCTGCAGGCAGCCCAGAGACCCTGAAGAGCTGCGCTGAGCTGCTGGAGAGGGGTTTCACGGACAACGGGCTCTACTACATCCGGCCGGCGCCCGGCCTTGCCAAGGTGCGCGTCTTCTGCGACATGACGACCAAGGGCGGCGGTTGGACCGTCTTCCAGCGGCGCGGGCCGCACCTCAAGCGCGAAAGTGAGTGCACGCCCCGGCCCCGGCCGTCTGTCGGCTCCTTCTGGGCAGCAGGAGCATTGACGGCAGGCCCCACCTTCTGGTACACACACACACACACACACACACACACACACACACACACACACACACACACACACACACACACACACACACACACACACACACACACATATATATATATATATATATATATATATATATATATATATATATATATATATATATATACCGGCTTTTCGCGGGCTATCATATTTCGATAGTGGGTGCCGAAATGGAAACATGAGTGAAAGGTATATTTTCAATTTCAATTTTCAGCAAACACTTAAAATTTTCAAATGTACAGCAGGTTAATGAGTAATTCAATAACAGAATAAAAATGCGCCGCGCTTTATTTGTAATGCATGAAGATGTAACGCTAACAAAGAACATTTGGAGAATAATTGTTTTTGCAAATTTGTGCTTTCCAACTCATATCATGCGACTTTGTAGGCGTTTAATGGTAGTTGGCCTGGCAAGGGAGACCACAGAAATGTGCATAAAATTCCAGGAAAGTCCGCCGATGAGATTCCCAGACGCTAAAGGAGGGAGAGAGCCAACGTTTCGTGAATCCAGATCCGTAAGAGCCGGACAAGGATGGGTTTAATGCAGATTCGCAGGGGAAACTTAACGAAGCGCTGAGAAAGCTGTACTATCTCCTGGTTTCTCCACAACTCTGGGTTTTCCGTGATCTAAGCGTCTACGCCCTCGCTTTTGTGAGTGAGCTGAGCGCCAGCAGGCCTCGCCCTGATCTAGCCTCCGCCGCGCAGACTTCTTCCAGGACTGGGACGCCTACAAGACCGGCTTCGGCGGGCCGGAGGGCGAGTACTGGCTGGGTAACGCCTACCTGCACGCGCTGACCGCGCCCGGCCGGCACCGACTGCGGGTGGAGATGCTGGATTGGAACGGCGCCAGGACGTTTGCCGAGTACGCCGACTTCAGCGTCGCCGACGAGGACGACAAGTTCCGGATTCGGCTGGGCACCTTTAGCGGAGACTCGGGTGAGCACGGCTCCGTTCATGCACAAAACGCTATCCGAAGACCCGACCGGAGGTGGGTATATACATGTAGAATATAAAAGTGCAGTGTAGGATGACGAAGCACTTGATGACGCAAGCATGCAAGGATGACGCATTTAAAGATACTGAGCGGTCCCAGACTGCCCGCAACAGGGCAGTTTTGGTGAAAAGATGAGGGCAAGGGTCCAAAGAGATACAGGTGGACATCAGGAGTGTATTTTCGTGAGACGTAGGTGTGCACAAATTCTAGGGAAAAGCGGGTGATTACAGGACTGGATAGAAGTGACCATGGGACCGGCGACAGGCCGCGTGACCCGTCGTGACCCATACGATATTGGTGCTTACGAGACCTGAGCGGGGGAGAGAGTCCTCCGGGGTGGGGGATCGGGGTGCGGGGCGACGATCTCCAAGATATAAATGGCCACGTGACTGGACGGATGAACCGTTATCGCACCGGCCCAACGCCGCCTGTTACATAAGGGATGATCTCTGCAGGATGGCCGTGGAAAGTGACGGACGTGAATCAGGTCCGAGGCGGTGTTGGCGTCACAGAGAAGGGAGGGGCGGTAGTGCCGGGGTCCGAGCAGCCACCTGCTGACGGCAGTCGGCGTTTACCCGGGCGGAGCGGAGCCGGACACGCCACTGGCGGCGGCTGGCCGGTGCCGTCTCAGGGCTCCCACAGACTGCCCGGAGTCGGCTTACCGGCGTAAGCCGCCATCCCGCTGGTGTGCCCAAAAATGTCTGCAATTTTAAGCGGGCCGCGGATGCCAACCGGAGGATCATCGCAACCCGGACAGGGCCACGCTGCCGCCAGCCGGTGGCCCGCTAATCGTATTAGCTCGGCCGACGCGAAAAATCGTGATCATCCGCGGGAAATGCGGAACTGCAGGCGGATCTGGCGGCGCGGCGCCTGACCGTTGTATTAGCCGCGGATCGACGCGGGGGCCGGCTCGGCTCAGTGGCAGCACGCCCATCCGCTTTGCCGCGCGGCCTGATCGGCTAATCGGGCGCTGAGGGGGCGGCGCGCGCGGTCGCCGGCGACGCCGCCGGTGACGTGGCCGCGGCGCCGGCCGAAGCCGCCCGCCGCTGCCGACCGCAGAGCGCGGCAGGCGGGCGGACGAGACGCCGGCTCCACGGCCGCCGCCGGCCTGAGGGCCTCGAGGCTGGCAGACGTGCTATTATTCGTCCAGCTGGTATAAACTCATGCGATTTATTGTGAGATAGAAGGTGTGTGAAAAAGCCTAAGCGTAATGAATAACACCAAATGTGACTGAGATGCTGTCGGCGGTTTAGTATCTAATGCCGTCGGAAGCTGTCACAGAGGCGATTTTTTTTTGGCAAAAATAGATGACGTTAACTTGTAATCTTGACAATGACGTCCCAAAGGAGACAGCAATGTGTCATATATTGATATGGACAAACTTTCGAGAGGAAAGTCAGCCCGTGAACGAAAGGTTCAATTTCATATCATTGTATTGACGGAGGCAGGTATCATCTCATCCATCGTACTTTCCAGGGCAAAAGAAGAACCACGCAAGCTATTCGTGTTAATGTGTCAACACTTAACAGCAATTTGCAAAGAATTGTGAGCGTGATTTTTTATTAAGGTCTCGTCCGATCATCGACCTGTCCTACATCTGGCCAAAACCTGCACCAAAACGGGCTCGATGGCGTGTGTATCGTAGACTGGTAATTATAAGGTCAAAGGTACTTATTCCTTATGAATGATCGATATCTGGGTTTTCGAGCACGCCAACTACCTCAGTCCTGTTGTTCCATTCCGCAGACAGTGCTACTCCCTGCGGCGCAAATAAATTTTGAGGTCATGAGAGGTCATCTAGGATGAGTTGCTGTTTTGTTTTGCCCACATTTAGGGCTGGAAGTATACTAACTTGTGTGTAATGTTCTTTAACTTTAAATTTCATCAATGTCCACGGGTCAAACCCATGACTTTTAGTCCTCACTTTTCACACGCAAACTATAAAAGATAATTGAGAGGTTTTATATCCCTTCATTGCGTGCGTCGATTATGTGGTTTCATTTGGCACACGTATTATATTCTTTCACTTGGCGCATGCATTACATTCTGTCATCTAGAACATTATTTTGTATTTTTGTATTTAGGGCCTGTTGGAAAACAAACCGGCACCATTTCTGGCTAACGCATGTTGTACCAAAACATGAGTCATTGACATGTGTGCTGTGGACAAGTCATACGGGAGCCAAGAACTCTTCTTTCTGTGTTGTCCCGCTGTATGTACTACTCTTTGACAAGCAAATGAAGTTTGAAGTCATCATAGGTCATCTAAGATGGGTTTTGATCCCTGGAAGCTTAAATGCTCTGCGTTATCCATTTCTAGATCCGAAGAGATACAACCTTGTGTGTGAAGCTTTTACCCCTGAAGATCATCAACGTTTACCGCACAGTCATCAACTCTAATCGTTACTTTTCGTATGCAAACTGCAAAAGCATAATTGCATGGTTTCAAATAGTTTCTTTTCATGCAATCTCCGTCACCTGCAGTATATCTTTTTCTGCGGAAGCTGGTCATAAGAATGTGACTTAATGTCGCAACATGAGGTCAAATACCTCAATGCAGCATTCTTGCTAAAAAAGTGTATGTGTTTCCAAAATTTTGCATGAGATTAACTGGGGTGGAACTTTAAATCCAAACATCGATGCATAATAATGGCCGGATATGATCTTGACCTGAACTGTACTTGTCCAAATGACCTATTGGGTCAAAAGTGAGCCACATAAAATAGTGCCCTATTTTTATATAATTCCATTCCGTCTCGACATCTCAGGGTGCGCATCTGCTCACTCACACCAAGCCGGTTGTAAGCATGGTATGTGCGACCGCAGCGATCGCTCTGACCTCATAGTGACCTCTGACCACGGCGGCAGGCGACTCGATGACGATGGACAACAACCGGCAGTTCTCCACCCGCGACCAGGACAACGACGTTCTCCGTTACGGCAACTGTGCGCGCGCCCACAAGGCCGGATGGTGGTTCGGAGCCTGCAGACGGGTCAGTATACCAGCTCAGGGGGCTGCCGGCTCGCCGCGGCATCGCTCGGGATGAGCGCGGAGCCATGAAATACGCCAGGCTACCCTGCGGCATAAGATTATGGGCGCGATCGGCCGGCAGATAATCTCGAGAATTATCCGGAATGTTGGAAAATTCTCCGGAATGGCGTCCGGCACTGCCAACACGGCGGATTATCGCAGATGATTGTCCGTACCGGGAAGAATTCCGGATGATTGTCAGTATATATCAAGATGCCTGTAATACATCTTGACCATATTGATATGGGCGAGACGGATAATTTTTCGCCATCCATAGCTATGGCCGTTGGCTGTGTATGGCGCATTGGAGACGAATTCGGGGGATAATTTCTGGACCCGCCAAACGTAAATGGAGAATCTCCGTAGATGGTTATCGGCGATAAGATTATTTGTCGAATAATTTTCTCTCGGCCGAACGCTTATGTGCCAAAAGATAAGCTGTATAGACAACAGGCGTTGCCAAATTCCGAGAGAGCAGGGGATTTGGTGATGTAACGATATAGCAGTGGTAAGACTGTGACTTCGGTGAATAACAATACACCCAGGCACTCCGACTACTCACCACTGGTGCAGCATGAAAGAACGCAGGCATGCGCGCTCGGGATTCTGCTGCAGTATGAGTAGAATGATCGGTGGAGAGTGCCGGATTTGTCAGAATTGCAAATGCGCGATAAGTTCACAAATTAGAGTGATTGTTTTGGTGGCACTGAATTATAATCTATCATTTCATTAATGAGTTATGGTTAACATCATCTTTGAGGTATATGGTACGTCAATATAGACGTGCGGTTAAAATGTGGCTTTCTGGTGCATTCCACAAGTGCAAGGAAACGTTCAAGTTTTCCTTAGGCTTTTCTGGAAATAAATCACTGAAATACTTAAGTTTTTAGTAGCTGAGTTCACAACCTTTGCGTACAATTTTGTGTTGTGTTTTGTCCGTGTATATGCTCAATCTGTGAAAATGTGAGGATTCTGAACTTTGGAGACCCCACGGTAATGGCTTCTTTGTCACGATCGTTTCGCACGCATTTCACTCTCGGCCGCTCGACAACATAGGCCTATCGCACGCTGAATTTTGCAGTGCTGCCCTGCATTGATTGCATTATTTTGCCCTATCAAATGATGAAGCATATCCATCAAATACCATTAGTGGGTCGCGTTATTCGAAGCCCAACAAGGTGAGATGCATCAGTGAACGTGTAGTTCGGCCATATCTGGTTAAGTTGTTCGGCATAGATGGGTCACGTCTACCAACGCAGTGCAGTTAGCGTCAGCGCAGTCAGCTTCTGGAATTCTTGCGTGAGGCGTAAGCACCAAATATTTTGCCCACTTGGTCTTATCAGCAACATCCATCGCTGTTGTGTTATTGTCGATGCATTATTCAGCATGCTAGGGTTATATAAAGGTTCTTCCCACCGTCATGGCGCAGACAACTGCGAAGATAACGCCTTAATATCAATATGCTCACTTTTTTGACCCGATGTGTGTTTGGGTTCCAGCACAAGAGGAGATTGAACGATGAACCCTTACACTTCTGTGGAATGTAACATTACGCCTATGGTGCTGCATGGAAAGACCCCATAGGGAAAATCTATATCCCTTATCTTTTAGGGTGCGGCAGAGCCCTGGTCTTGTCCTGGCAGAGGCTCTTCGTATGGATATTTCATACACTGCCTGAAGCCACTTGGTGCGAGATACGCGACACAGCACTCCCTTGGCCTTAGCGTGTTTAGTTCCAAGGAGAGCGTCCTGTGGTACCCCTTGTATGGCGAAGGTGGGAAAAAGGCCAGTCTGCACAAATCTTAACTGGGCGAAACTTGTGTCTTTTATGATATGATACGGAGCCGATCGCACGGGTAAAACGAGAGCAGCGTCCCGCGCCCTATTGTGAAAAGTAGAAACGTGGCAGCCGGCCGTTGGCAGTGAACAAAGACGTCAGCGCAGGATTACCCACGAAGCTTCGGATTGCCTCCCACAGTGCGAGAAAGACCGAGCAGTAGCCAGAAATCAGTACAACCGCCTCAGCTTAATGTTCGACGACCGTGAAACGTTCTGCGATCCCAAGATCACGTTGCGGCGTGAAGTAACTGAAGGCTTATCTGAACGGCGCGGTGTCCCTGCAAGCGAACCTGAACAGTGCAGTATTACGGCAGGCTAACGTGAACGATAAATGCAATTGCAGGCTTATCTGAACGAGGCAGTGCCACTGCAGGCTAATCTGGGTGGCTGGGTGTCAATGTTTGCTAATCTGAACGGCGTAGTGTTGCTGCAGGCTTATCTGAGCGGTTCGGTGTCATTGGAGGCTAATCTGAACGGCGTAGTGTCACTACGGACTAATCTGAGCGGCTTGGTGTCATTGTAGGCCAACCTGAACGGTATGGTGTCACTGCAGGCTAATCTAAACAGCGTCGTGTCACCGCGAGCTAATCTAAGCGGCTTGGTGTCACTGAGGGCTAATCTGAGCGGCTTGGTGTCATTGCAGGCTAATCTAAACGGCGTGGCCCACGAGGGCAGGCACGACGGGCCGGATGGCATCAACTGGCTCGACTGGAAGGGCCCCAACTACTCCATCAAGGCCACGCGCATGATGGTCAAGTAGCGGGCGGGTGGACGTCGGGTGCGCTGCCGGCTCGTGGTCCGCCGCCGGCTCCTCCGGCAGCGCGGGTCTCGACAGAGCGGTGCCGCATGGTGACAGCAGAAGCTGGCCGTGGTGTCTGCCCGAGGCTCTGTCCTGTGGTCATGCGACATCCGCTGTATGTCATTTGCAGATGTAACGCAGGGGGCTGTTGTCGATTGTGACCGGTGTTTGAGCGCCTATGATTTTGAGCAGCAACGCTAACGTGTGTTAAGCCTGCCGCGTGACAGTCTATCGCTTCGTCCTAGCGCGCCGATGTGGTGTTCTGAGTTCTTGAGACTGAGTGACAGCTCCCGTAATAAACATCAGGCTGACAATCTCTCACTCCGAGTGCTGGATTACATTCAGCCGCCGCATGTCCTTTACCCGCAACCAACCCAAAGCGGCCGGATCTTCAGACCCGGATCTGCCTGGATCGAGGCGTATCCGAGGAATCACGGTTCATGCAGGGCTTAGGCCAGGTTAATGACAGTCAACGTGTCGGCACCAGCCGGATATCGCTCCCATCTGGTAGGCAGCAAGGTGATAACAACCACTCCTCAGAACGAGGAGAAAATGCATTTTTCGCCCATTAAGATTGCAACTTAAAACCAGCTCGTATCGAAGCAGCATGACGGGCGATAGGTGAGATTTATCTGCACGTGTTGCTGATCAGGACTTTCAAGACACACAAAGCATGTTCTCGTGTGAGTCGTGGTTGGAATCGTCATTGCACAATAAATATTGATTGTGGCATTACGAATATCTGTCATGCATGCAGAACCACTTTCCTGCGCGACTTTCAACCTTTCTCATTTGCATGTAAACGAGCGCAGTTTTGAGCTCCTACAATCCCCAAATTGGAAAGGTGGCTATTGGCTTGGAAGGGTGTGGAGGCAATAGCGTAATAAGGAAATACGCTTCATGCGTGCCATCCGCCGTTGGCCACCGGCGCAGCAACTCTCATGCGTCTCTCCGCACAGGCGGTGGAAAATGAGCGCACTGTGATAAAACACTAAGCTTGACAACACGATGGATTGAATGCACGTGGAAGTCGACTCAGTGCGCCAGTGGCTCAGTCTAATTATATTAACTCATCAAAACTATTGAAATCATGCGACCACTACTTCCCTCCCCTCACCTGAATCTAGCTCACGGACAATAGCAGTCTAAGCACCAATTGGGTTGCCCTGTGAGCCTAAAGAACCCTTTTGACAGTCTTGGTCGTGGCAAATCTGATGCAGAGCTCATCCTCTGCCCTTCTCTTTTCTTCTGGACTTCTCTCCTGATTACGAAAAAAATTATGTCTGCACATTAGCCTTGCCCTACAAGAACTGACATCGTTTCCCAGCGAAAGGACTATGATCGGAATGGAGGCGCGACAGGCTGGCACTGGTAGCAATCCTTCTCAAGGTCTCCCAACCCCGTCGCAAGAGTTCTTTCCATGGGCTATGGCAAAGTCATATCATTCACACGTCACGCCAAAGTGACTCTCATGAAAGCAAATGTTCAAAGAATTGAACCTGCTGTATCGTGCAGTTGGTTCATCTGAAAAGTAATACACCTTTTCATAGCTGAAACGAGGCCTTTTACATCCGGTAAAATGTACTGGAGGAATCTTTGGACCACATTAGTATCATATTTCATCGCCTTCGACAGCGTGCAGTAACTCTTACGCGTAATGTGCCTAGATTCTGGTCAACATAGCAGGAAAGGATGCAGCGTGCATCGCGGTGCATCCCGACCAAGCTGCTGAACGTCGTCTTGTACGACAGAAGCGCAGTGTTCTGAAGAGTCTAAAATGATCAAAACTTCGTTTTCGGGCAGTCCTTTTAAAGGTCATCGAAAGATCTACCGTGGTACTGGGCCGCAAAGTGATGCCCGGTCACTGCATCTATGGCTTCTGACAATTGAGTCAAAAACTCATCCATTGGCATAACAAGTTCAGGTAAAGCACAGGGGTCGGGTCTCACCCACTGACTAAATCTAATTTCATCGACCGAATCCAAAATTTCCTCTACTTGCGCATTGATTGCCTCAATCAAATACGATCGCACACCATCCTAAATGCCGATATTTGTTAAACTTCTGCATCATGCATTATGCATCATGTATCCGTATGAACATCACACCCGGCTTGACGCAGTAGGTCTTTTTAAGTGGCATCTCGTAGGCCATGAGATTCGAGCATCAGCTTTCCGCTCTGGTAACAACAGAACACGCAAACCGTGTGAGTTCCGCTGTTTCCCATCAGGACGCAGTGTTTGCGGCATAATAGCCTTGCGTGTGCATGTATTTTTTCTAAACAGCGTTGCAAGCTTTCGTAGCATTTATTACACAAGCACGTCGACAGATTAGTGTGTTGCAGACATTACAGCACACCCGTGGAAAAGACAAGGCAAAGTAATGCATTATTTTCGTAGTGTAGGCAGGGAGTCCAATGAGGTTTGTTCCGCAAGTGTGGCTACTGCAAATAGAAATTCTCAGTTGGTCAGAGAGATCTCGAGAAAACTGGCATTACCGATTAAGTCGGACGTGCCTAATCTAACAATTAATGAATGTACAAAGAAGGTCGCATATTCCCTTTAAACTTCACCATGCTATCGTTATTTGAGCGTTTCATTGTTGCAGGGTACTGCCAATTAACATGCACTTTCAAAAGGCCATAGGTCCTCACTGGGTCTTTGTCTGACTTCTGAGTCGCCCCTCATGAACAAAAGACGACACCACCTCAAGTACCTCACAGTACGCTCACCTCTCCCTTGCTCCAATTACCCCGGCCTTGACGGCACACATGGGGGAGGGGGGCGGTAGCTGGCTGCAGCGGTGCGTAGCGCG